ACTAAAATGAGAAAAACTGTGGCTAAAAGCAAAATAAAAAGCAGAATAGTAACTAAAAGTAGCAAACAATAATTAAAAACTAACAAAATGTTAGGTAAAAGTGGCTAAATGGTAGCAAAAATTAAAAATAGAAGAGCAATAGCTAAAAGCTAAAAGCAATAGCTAAAAGCTAAAAGTAGTAAAATGGTAGCGTAAAGTTAAATGTAGCATAAGACAACAAAAATAGCAATTTTTGAAGAGAACAATGTGTTTAAAGAACATACATGACCTTGATGTGTTTTAAAGGACCTTTTATTTTAAATAAAGTTAAATATTTAAAAATCATAGAAGTTACAAAAAACATGTCACAATCCTAACTGAGCTAAATACTTTGATCCATGAATGGTTAAAATAGCACCAAGTATGCAGAAGTTATTTTATTGATCAAAGCATACCAAATAAACTATAAACAGGAAAACAACAGTGTTATTGCTGGCTCATCATTCATATATTGCCAATTTGATCATGTGTATGAGTACCTGAGCAGCGTGTGGAAGCTCCCCCCAGGTCCACTGGATTTCAGGGTTTGTCTGATTGGTCAGCTCCGAGTCACTCTTGGGAGTTGATGACCCTGAATCATCTTGGCTGCTGACGAAAAGATGGTCTGAAACTTGGTTAAAATGTTTGTCCTTTGTAGATTTACAAATAAAGTTCCTTTTCCATGCAGTATACAGTTTAAAACAATACAGAAACATTTCACCATAATTGAAACGACACAGAAGATATCTCCTATTTTTAACCACATTGTTCTAAAATCAGAACTTTTTCTCAACAGTCATTTCTGTAGAGGGACATAAAAAAGGAAAGGTGATACCTAAGATGTGAAGAGAACTGAGAGGTTCCTTGAGGACATGAGATGGACAGACCGTAGCGTGAAGGAATGGACAGGGCCTCCTTATTCACATCGCTGCTGTAATACAAAAGACACACGGACAAAAGAAAGTAACAGAAACATGAAAGGGTGACATAAATATTCATCAAATAAAAAGGGTGAAAAGACAAAAAGACCATAAAGAGAAAATGTTAAAAAGAAAAGAATTACCAAAACTACAAGAAAAGACTCATGTAGTGTGTATCCCTGTGTGTGTGCTGCAAATAATACCTCTGTGAAGGAGTCCACTCAGTGATGGGGTGGGCAGTGCTGCTGGTTGTAGATCCCTGACTGTTGTACGCAGCTCTGTTCATAAACACACACATGCAGGTTATTAAAAATGAACATAAGTCACAACAAACACCAGCCACATACTATCCGGAAAAACATTCAGCATGATGCACGATTAAAAAAAAGCACATTCTTTCATGTCTTTAAGGAGTTTAGGAATTTTCTCAGCCCACAGTAGCAGTATGTTTCCTTATAAAGGCTTCAAACCTCCACAGTAAGATCTGCTACATGAGCTGCTGTTTGGCAGAGACGGGGAACTCTGTGGGAACAGAACTGATCTTTGGACCTCCTCCAGCAAACAGAGGCTTTTCAGAAAGCTGCCGCTGCACACACAAACATCAACATGCGCAGGCCTGCAGCTTTAGTTGCTACATTTCGAATTGTTTAAAAGCATAAGGCATTAAAATGATTTCCCTGGAATAAAGAGGAGTTGGAAGGACTCCTGTGTCATGCTGAGCTAGTTTAAAAAAAGGTTAGTTAGACAAACAAGCTGGAACTATTTCAAGGACTTTCCCCTCCTCTCTCAGCAATAAAATGTGATGAAAAGTAACTTGTTTGATTAGGTTTAATTAATGAGTTAGTCATAAATACTTCACAAAAAAGTGTAACACCTAAAGACTTAGTTTAAACACATTTACAAAAGCTTCAAGGGAAAGCTGGTAGACCCACATTTAGGACAGCTTTGCGTGTTATATGTACAGTCGGGGCCAAACGTTTTGAAAATGGCACAAATGTTGGTTTTCACAAAGTTTTCAGTCTCAGTTTTTATGGTGGTGACTCTAGATTGTGAAGAGTGATCTGATGAATTGCAGGACATTGTTGCTTGTAGCAACACAATCAACCATTTATCGAATCATCAAGAACTTCAAGGAGAGTGGGCCAGTTGGAGTGAAGAAAGCTTCAGGGAGCCCAAGAAAGTCAACCAAGTGTCAGAACCGTCTCCTAAAGAGGACGCAGCTACGAGATCGGGTCACCAGCAGCAGCGCTGAGCTTGCTCAGGAATGTCAGAGGGCAAGTGTGAGAGCATCTGAGCAGTGAGATGAAGGTTTTTGGAGGATGGCTTGGTATCAAGAAGGACGGCAGAGAAGTCACTTCTCTCCAAAAAAAAAACATGAACGGCTGACCAACATTCTACAGGAAGTGTAGGAACTGGACTGCAGAGGACTGGAGTGAAGTTATTTTCTCTGATGAAGCCCCTTCAGAAAGTTTGGGACATCTGGAAAAATGATTGTCTGGAGAAGAAAAGGTGAGAACTTCCATGAGTCCTGTGTTATAAAGTGAAGCATCCTCAGATTGTTCATGTGCGGAGTTGCTTCTCATCCAGGGGAGTGGGTTCTCACAAATTATATTTAAGAACACTGCCATGAATAAGTAATGGCATCAGAACATCCTCCAAGAGCAACTTCTTCCAATGATCCAGCAGCAATTTGGAGATGAACAAAGTTTCTTTCATCATGATGGAGCAACGTGTCACAAGGCAACAGTGATAAAGTGGCTCGGTGAAAAAAATTTGGATCCAAGGCCAGGAAGAAGTCTTTGCTTAAACTGGATATATTTGTCAATAAAAGTTAAAAATAAGTGTGGACTGTTTATAATTGTACTTCATTATACCATATAAACATCTGACTAAAGGTTCTAAAAGAACTGAGACTGAAAACTTTGTGAAAACCAAAATCTGTGCCATTCTCAAAACTTGGTCACAACTGTACATACAGTACATCTATCATTTTACCATTTATTAAGTTTTTTTGTAACTTGGATATATTTTGCATGTGTACTGTATTTCAGAGAAAACACAGTTCAGCTGTGTCAAAGATTTTAGTTACCGTCTTTTACGTATTATAATTAATTTTGAATTGGACTGTTGTAATAAATGATCATCTTGTGTAGGACATAGAAATGCAGGCAAGAATATTCTCACGTTTCTGCTGGAGCAGATGGGTTGACATTAGAGTGCTCCTAGTTTCTGTCTTCTTGATTCTCTGATATGTATGTAGTGAATTCACATCCTTCTTTAAAGCAGCAGTAACTCAGTCACATGTGCGAGAAGCCTAAACTCTAAAAAAGTTGAGTCTGATCCTGTGGACAGGTTCAAACAACAAAAAAACAAAAAAACGTAGAAACATTTCGTCTTTCATCTGAAAGGCTTCTTCAGTCATTAAACTCAACTCAGAGGTTTCTCCACATTAGTTAGTTAGAGGCACAGGTTTAGTCCTTTTGAAAATAACCCACTGACAGCTGCTGACCGGCACACACCTGCTGCTGACGCCCTCCTTCTCATCATCCGAGCTCAGATCAATAGTAAACATGTCTTCCTCCTCCGAAAACTCCTCGCCGCTCTCCTCCCTCCTCCCACCTGATCCTCCTCCTCCTTCTGGTCTTGCTTTCCTCCTTCTCTTCCTTCTCTTCTTGCTCGCTCCTCCATCCCCGTGCTGCACCCCCAGGTTCTGGATGGGAAGGGAGCTGCAAGGGATTTTGTCTGTGTGATAAGAAATCACAGCATAAATGTTATTCCTAAAGCAGAGTCAGGTATTTATTTATTGATTGATTTTTTTTTAAAAGACCACAGAACGGTGGCAAGAAGTCACTGCTACCTATCTGAGACTGCTTTAACTCCTCCCCCATGGACAAGATGGGTGACGTTGCAAGGTAGGATGGAACCACTTCCTGTTGACAGAGGGACATTTATTGATCATATGAAATATTTACTGTGTTAAATATAATCTATGTATTGAATTGATCTGAAATAGATTCTACAGGAAGTTTCCGCATGTTTCTGCCTGAACAACTGAAGACGATAAATGTAAAATATAAGGCAGATTAATATTATTATTACGGTACATTTGAATAGATTGTCATATAAAAAATTTAATTGTGATGTTTTTAATGTGTATATTCTGTATTTTGATGTTCATAAATAGATCTTTTTATTTATTTATGGTTAAACATGATGGAGTATAACTTTTCTTCTCAAGTTTAAACAATAAATATGTATTGCAGAGCTCATTATATATATTTTTGTTTACATCAGTGTTACATGATAGTTTCAAATAAAATTGCTGCAGATAAAATGTATTGTTTGTAAATCATCCTCTTTATTTTAATCTTGTACAACATATTATAACAGCTTGGCATAATGTCTGCCTTGTGCATAATTTAACTCAACTCCAGCAGAAGCTGAGCAGCTGCCTTCTACTCTGATGTTATTAATAATAATTTGGTTGATAAGTACAGACTGGGCATATAGATAGAAATATACCGAAGAAAAATATAAACAACACTTTTGTTTTTGCTCCCATTTTTCATGAGCTTAACTCAAAAATCTAAGACTTTGTTTATGAACACAAAAAGACTTTTTCTCTCAAATATTGTTCACAAATTTGTGTAAATCTGTGTTAGCATAATCCATCCTCCTCGCAGGTGAGACACATCAAGATGCTGATTAGACAGCATGATTACTGCACAGGTGTGCCTTAGGCTGACCACAATAAAAGGCCACCTGATGTAAGACGAAACAGATTTTTTTTTTAAATTATGCAAGTCTGAATAATCTGAATTTGGGTTTAAATGTGGATCAGGTAAATGACCGAGATCTGCTTATCCGGGTCACAACACTATTAGAAATATAAAGGAGAGGCAGAAGGTGAGAGGCAGTGAGCGGGAGCGAGATAAAGAGGTGATCCAAAGTGCAGACGCTCACATGCTCCTCTGTTCACGTCACGAGTCTCCTTTTTTTAGCGGGGAGGAAAAGGGACTGTGCTCAGAATGTGCAAGGTCACAGCACGTAAGCTCTGCCCTTCCTGAGAACATCCTCCACAGAAAAACAATTTGATTTCATGTACTGGATTCACTGCTAATCTTTAATCTCAGCACATTTGTCTCAGAACTATTCGTCCTCTTTCAGAGAAAAACAAGTTGTTTTTGACAGAGTTTACATAAAAAGTGAATGAAGCAATATTCAATTTGTTTTTCACAAAACAGACAAGCAAAACATTTTCTTACATAAAAATTGTCTCATGATGTAACAGCAAATTTAAATTGAATAAAGAAAAAAAAAATCACCTTTGTTTCTTACCTAAAACCGGTCCAATAAAATGAAAGTTGCTCAAATATTGAACTGATGAGACAAACATTTAAAGAAAATTATACAACTTTTTATTGTCTTTGCTATAAAACACACTTGAGGAATAACAATTAACTGGAGGATATGAGCTTCGTGTTTTCCTTTCTACGAACATGCCTGCTGCTGCACGCCTGACCACGAGAACATTTCGTTAACGTTTCACGTGCTGCATCCACATCTGATGAACAAGCCCCGACAAACGCTCGAGTTTAACTTTACACTCCAAGGAGTAAACAAAGACAGAAAGGGGGTGGAGAAGATGTTTTATGTGATGTTAACTGAGATTACCGGTGGGATGAAACAACAATACTGAAGAAAGATGAACAACTTTAAACTGACATGTTCTCGAGCTTTCTCCTCAGACGTCTTCGAGCCTTTGCAGAACAACATTTTAAGGCCTTTGCCTTTAAGCGCAGTATATTTGTCTGATCATCTGTCCATTCTTTACACACACCAATGTGGTCTGTATACAGCACACTGCACAGAGGGTGAAGAGCTATAAATAGGTCTCTGGTAGTTTTCCACTCTGTAGAGAAGGAGGGTTAAGTTAGGGAGAGGGCATAGCACTAGATCCAAACAAACTTTTGATTTACTGTATTTCTACTTTACTTAGTTCGAACATTTCTCAGCTTTTATTGCAGGCTCTGTTGAAGGTTTACAATCTAAAGGGTGATGCGATTCTCACTGCACTTATAGACCGACTGTCAGGCAACAGCTCCTTACTTTTGGTACATGAAAATGAAAGCAGAATTAAACTAATGCATATGACTTTTACCATGTTTGGACACATTGTAACTGTTTACCATCTTTTTGTATCTTCAGGGCAGTTCTCACCCCCATCCTCTCTCAATTCAAAGAATCCTCACCGATAACTACAGATTGAGCATGAGGGTTTTCTCCAGGTACTCCAGTCATCTCCCACAGACCGAAAACAAGCCTGTTGGGTTAATTGTTAACTCTAAATTGAGAGCGTGAAAGGTTGTTTGTCTCATTTGTTTCTAAGTGGGCCTGGGATGGATTTGCAATCTGTGCAAGGTGTACCCCACCTCTTGCACTATGACCTCGAGACTGACACTAGCTACTTTGTGTAAAAGCAGGTAAACAAGCTGAATAAATAGATGAGACTGTTGGACAAACTGAATGTTTGCCCGCTGAGTTCTTCTAATCTGCTCACACTGCCACATCGTCACAGGACTCCAGGATGGGTCACTCTCGTACATTGTGCTAGGTTAATCCTTATTGTGCCTCCGTTGACAATAATTTTATTTGTATTGTTCATCTGCACCTTTTGATTGACCCGTTTGTGGTTTAATAATGTTGTAATTTGTCCCCCAAAGTCCTGCTAGGAATAATCACGAGAACATAGAGCATGCAATGCAGCTCAGATAATAAAACAATACAATTTGTTTGAGATTTTGGAATGTTTCAATGCCCTCCTTTGTTTGTGGATAAACCAGTTTGAACATTTGAACAGTTTAATAGCTCATTGTCTGTTGATGATTTATGAATTTTCCCAGCTTTTATTTTCAGGAAACTGAGGTTATACTGGTCAGTATGACACCAAAGTAAGACATCAACTCCTCTTCCCTCTTACTGCTCTAGTCATGTTTCATCGGATGCTCTAAAACATATGCGTCAAACTCGAGGTCCGGGGGCCAAATGCGGCCCTCGTTGACATCTTATCAGGCCCCCAAGATGATATGTTAAACAAAAAAATATTTTTATCACTTTAACTTTGTCAGTAATTTTTGATTATGATGGCAAAACTGAAACAGAGAACATCAAATGAGACCAATCGAACTCTTGTTTAGGAACCTGCAACCAAGAAAAGATGTTGGGTATCAAACTTGAGTTAATGTAGTTTCTGAAACCCGCCCTTAGTTTGAAAAAGTTTTTAATTTTGGCCCCCTTTTGTAGGTGACTTTGACACCCCTGCTCTAAAACATCCCATCTGCTTTCACATTAACAGACCAGCATCTCACTTTCTGCCTCATCTAAAGCTTTCAGTCTGGAAATGATATAAAATGCCTAATTTGATCTCATAAGAAACGTCATGATTTAATATTTGTTGAATAAACCAGCATTTACAGTGTAATGTTATGATGTTAAAAAAAAGGTGGAAGGCTCTTCTTCGTCTTACGCTAGAAATGAATAAAGACACATTTCTGTTTCCTCTAAGCATGTCTGAGCAGGAGAAAGAGCACTTAAAGCCTGATTATTAACAAAACAGCAACTTCTGGTTGTGGATAAATGCTTAGTAAGTAATAAACCCAGTCAGTTACAGCAGTAAAAATAAATGATTCTCCCAACAACCACACTTAATTGAGCATGCTTGTATTTGAGCTAAGGCTGTGTTCATGTTACTGCCTGTTCTGTTCTATAATTGTACGTGTTTATTGACTCTGCCCATCATTACTCACTAGTTTGTTCTCAGTCTCTTTGACGAAGAAGGCTTCTCCATTCTCTCCCAGCTTCATGTGTAAACTCACTGGCTCGCCGTTAATCTCTATGTCCACCTGCAAGACAGCACAAAAAGCCCTTTAACATGCATTTGTACATGCACTACACAGTACTTTTTAACATGAACTATGTTGCAAATAAAATAATATTCAGTGTTTCCACTATTATCCAAGGAGGGCGCCCCACCCTGTCGGCAGAAGCAAGCGCCCCGCCTACCAAAATGTCCTTCACCCACAGCTCCACTGACACTTAGGTGTACAGTTAGGTGTGTGCAGATGTAATGAATCTGAAAAACATGTTCAAAATATTCTATAATCTTACCACTTTCTCCCGAGACTGCAGCACCCCCATCTTTCCGAAGCGGACGTGGAACGGGGAGCACTGCAGCGAGCCATCGGGCTGCCGGACCACGATGACGTCGATACATCCGGACAGAGTTGCAGGGTTGAGTCCTCTGTACAGCTCCTTGACCTGCACAAACACCTGGCCCGCCAGCTGACCCACATAGTTCATGGTCTGCAACTGATGACAAAACACATCCAGATTTAGATCTTACACTTGTCAGTGAAATAAGGTTTCACTCACAGTTCACGCCTTTAATTTAAGATGTCAACCTAAAGCCAGATTAAGGTACATTATTGATCCAGTGTCAAATAAATCTGCAGTTTCAGACTTGCAGGTTGATGAAACTACCGTTTCCATCTTCTTTTCATTATTCTCGTGGTGCTGCAGCAGGTGTGATGTCAGTGAGATGGTAAACGCAGGGAGCTGTACTCATACCATACCCTCATCACAGTTAATACATATTCACTTCATTTTAATTATTCAACCTGGTTGCAGCAATTATAATAATTGCGACATGAATCATAGAACTTCAAGTTCTTTCAGATAATAAAACAGTGTTTACTTTAAACAAATAGTCCTGCTGAGTTATCGGCTTTATCTGAAAGCTGCTTTTCAACCCTCTTCCACAAAAACTCCTGCTCTGCAATATTTTTAACTCAATCAGTGTCAAATCTGTCACTTTTACTGCTCTGTGCGTTGGCGATCTAAGGTACGGATCTATAAATTATAAGTAATCTACATGGTTTTTATGTTCAATACAAATTATGTTCAGTTGTGCGCTTTCCATTGTTCTTTTGCAGTAAAGTGGTTCCTAATAGAAATCTGAATCTGTCAGGAGTCTGATGCTCATAAGAGATATGGACATTTTGTTTCTACAAAAGACAAAAAAACAAAAAAGGATTCATGTGTTAATAAAAAATGCTGAGTTAAGGTTTGTTTTTTCTGACACAAGAATGACAAATGTATAAACATATGCATGGCACACCAAGAGTCCACTGAAGCTTGACTGTGTTGCATGAAGTCTCTTAAAATATCCGCCCACCTGTGCTGACTCTGACACTGTTCTGTGCACGAAAACACGCTCACATCCTGTCCATAGCACAGATTGCTTCATGTCACTGAACATCGTGTAAGAACACTTAAGACCAGGATGATCTGTTAGGAGGCATCACAGTTTGGGAAACTTGTCCTGAACTAATTGTACATCAGGCTCACACGAGTCATCACATCACGTTTGATCAGATCAGAACAGCACAAGCAGAAGTGCAGCACACTGACATCAAGTTAAATCTGATGAAGACAACATGTCGAGTTGTGTTCTGTAATCCGCTGTAACAAGATAATATGTTAGGCATGACCATGTTCAAGAACTGATGGACATAACTAGATACTTATCTGTGTTCTCACTCACTTGTGCATCTATTGTTTCAATGACAGCAACATCGACAGGAGCTCACTCATTGGATTTTACAGTCAACACAGCCCACGTGCATGTCGCTATTCACACACCACACGTACACACAGCCAAAGCCTTGCCCACTCTTCCTTTCTGCTGCACAGCCAAACACTTTGTTCCCACATGATGTAATAACCAATCACGAGACAAGCCAAGAGGGTTACTCTGTGTCATGCTGGGAAAGAATGGAGTAAACACTAAGAGAAACATTTTTACACGCCTGCTGTTCCCACTGAGACATGAGGTGGGAGCAGATGAGTCACACCAACATCCAGCCAGGCTGTGGGGATGAAACTCCTGTCACTACAGGCTACAGGGTGAGTGAGAGGTCACTGGATTCACAGATGATGAATATTAATCATTCTAGTTCATGTGGCTGAAGGAGTTTCACACTCCTGGATTAAAGTCAGCAAAAAACACATAACATATCCATAATAATAATAACTGTATTTTCACTGTATTAAAAAAATGATTTGATTAATGACCTTGTGCATGCCTCAGTAGGCAGCAATGACCTGAAAGGCGCACAGGGTGGTCAAGCACGTTGCACGTACATGTGTGCGCGCGCGTGTGTGTGTAGACATGTAAACATGGGGTGAGGCTCTGAAGACCACCGTCATTCTAACAGCCACCAAACCTGCTGAACGCAAACCATCACGCTGCTGCGTAAAACGCTTTAAAATTCGAATTCAACCTGAAAACACGTAGAAAACAGGCAAAAACAACAACAGCCATGATGTCCCTGCTTACATTATTTACTGACGAGGCTCTTCGCTTCGGGGTTTTTCCGTCTTCCAGCAGTTTCCTCTCAGCAGTCGCAGACGGAGTCAGTGTCCGAATCAAACATGATGGGAAACATTAGCATCATTCAGCCTCCCTGACATCTGATCAGCTACTCAACCGTCCTCCTTCCGCCACAGAGCACGCAGCAGGCACGAACCTGATTGGCTGAGCTAAAGCTGACGTCATGCTTTGTTTGTGGAATATTTCCTGCTCAAATAAAACAACAACAACAACAACAAAAAAATGTCCGCGTTGTTTTGGTTTTAGGTCTTGACTCTGCTTAAAAAAAAAAAATCGCTTTTTTATGCGTTACGTCAAGTTGGTTGTCAACAATCTCAACTTGACGTAATACACTGTAAACATTAACAAAGAATAAACATTTACGCACGCAGGTGTCTAATTATTGCCTGATTAAAACTATTGACTCTAATGGTGTGACCTGTAATTAACGTCTGTGGAAGGTTACTGATCAATTTAACATGCAGATAAATATGTTTAAGGTCTTTAATTACGTCTCGGAAAAGCCTAGGACCTTATCTGATATTTACATTTGTTTGTTCAAATATACAAGGAAAAATAATCAACAAGTGTTTCCGTTTTTTATCAATAGAAAAGTTGTAATTGTGATTAAAACTACAATTTGAACATTGTCATGTAACAGAGGACTTGATGAACTGGTATGCATGTAGTAAATAAGTAAGTAAATCAATATATGTTTATATAGCTGTTTTTTTGCTACTTTTCCTTTTAATTATCCTTTTAATTACCATTTAATTTCACTTGTTAAAAAAAAAAAGAAATTTGTATGCATCCTTTATGATTGTCTATTGTTGTCCATCACTCTATGCTAAAATGATGTCTCTCTTGTAAATGAGTCGCCGAGGCTCAATGGGATTAACCTGTACAAATAAAGGTTGAATGAATGAATAGCACCTTTTAAAAGCAACTTTACCAAATGCTCAAATAAAATACATCACAAGCTGATAAAACTGGGCTCCCATGAATTAGTATAAAAGCAACAGTGCAAAAGCATTAAAATTATGTAAAAAATTGTCCTAAAAACACAAAAAAGTAACTTGAAGAGAAGTGTTCAGTTGTGGTTTAAAGCACAACAGAGTTCGCTCGCTATCCTGACCTGGTGACTGGTCCACAGTTTGGGCCACAGAGAGCTCACGGTCTTCTCACAGATGAAAGTGAGGAACAAATAGGAGGCCCTGACCATGACTTTAGGGTTATAGAAGGAGTCCATTCATGTAAACAAGAGCCACATAGTTTAATGCTTTATAGGCCAAAATAAGGATTTAGATTGAATCTTGAATTTTACAGGGAGCCAGAATAGAGAAATAAGGACAGGGGTGAAATGAGAGCAAACCAAGTCCATCCATTCATCCATTATCTTTACCTGCTTCTTTCTTTTCAGGTCGCAGGGGTCACTGGTGCCCATGTCCAGCCATCACTATGTGAGAGGCAGGGTACACGCCTGGACAGGCCGATCCAGTCCATCACAGGGACACATTGAGACAAACAAGACAAACAACCATTCACTCTCTCACTCACACCTAGGGACATTTCAGAGTTACCAATCAGCCTGCAATCCTTGGTGAAAAATCTTGAAGTTGATTTTACATGAGAAAATAAGTCTTAGCCTATGTGGCCAGTTAAAATGTACTTAAATATTTATGCAGTTATTGTATGATGGACAGTTTACTCCCTACACCTGTAGCTTTATTTCTGAACTGATTTTGTCATGCCCTGCTTTAAAATTTGCTGAAAGTCATGTCAGACTGTTGACAGAAATACCCTGAAAATCACTGACAATGGTGCAATAAATAACAAAAAAAAAAAAAAAAGAGATAATTTAAAAGACAACTTACAGAGTATGGATAAAGATATATGACCATAATAAAATATTTACCATAGATACTTTATTTGTGCTTACCTTGTTTGTATAAAGGACCAACCTTATAAACTTTTTATTACACCATAAAGAAAATGTCAAAGAACACAGTGGAGGCTAAATCTTTAAATCATGCATACTGTACATGCTGTTCATTTCTATTTGAGTATATCTGGGAGGAAGAACAAGATCAGATTACTATTCTGAAGAAATGCACCTCTAACAGGAGACAGAGGGGGCAGGAGTACCACTGACACCCAGGCAGTCTGAAGATAGCTGGATTTGAGTAAAAGGAATGATCATGTATAGAAACTGAATCTGCCTTCCTGATCACTAATTGAAAACTGATTGAGACAATGCTGATGTGTTTGCTTTTTTTGTTTGATTTACAACAGAACACTGTGTTAGAAAGCAGCTCACTATGTTGTTTTGCTCACCAACTGTATGACTTTAAATACATTATGTACTTTTACAGAAATATTAGGTAATAAAGTAGTGGCAGAGCTGCTCTGACTGCATTCTTTTTTTTTTTCTTCTTAAAACGTTGTCATCAGTTTATTTTAGATTGATTATGTGTGATTTTATCACAACTTTCAACTCCATGATCAAACGTAAAACAACTAACTGCTGTAATATTCTAACATCTCAGATCTAATTTAATTTAATCTAAATTGCTTTAAATTGTATCTATCTGATAGATTCCAATTTGTAAATGTAAATAATAAATCTTCATAATACATAATAGTGGTGGAGTTCCTCAAGGTTCAGTGCTTGGATCATTACTCTTTACATTGTATATGCTCCCATTAGATAATGTTATTAAACAGCATGGGATAAATTTTCATTGTTATGCTGATGATACACAATTATATTTGTCCATGAAACCTAATGAATCCAATCAACTACTGAGACTACAAGCATGTCTTGAAGACATAAAAACCTGGATGACCCTAAATTTTCTGCTTTTGAACACAGACAAGACTAAGGTTTTAGTTTTTGGATCTGAGCACCTTAGGAATAAATTTTTCCGTCTTTCTCCCT